ATCTTCACTTTAAGTCATCTTTAGTATAAGATTTTAAAAAGACAATTAAATATTTGTCTTCCCAAATTTAATAGTAATTTTTACAATTATTTAGAACTGTATCTTTGGAAGGAAAATAGTTTTCACAACTTACTCAAAGGAAACAAGGACCTACTGAAACAGTAAAACAATTTTATCTGATTATTGAGGATTTATTTAGGAAGGTTATAACAGGAGGAAATTACTTTCCTGAAGTGACAAAAGCTCATATCTTTTTTAATGAATTAAGACTTGAATTAAATAGGACAGTTACTCTATTTATGTCAAATACTTTATATGAAGCATATATAAGGGCCAAAGCATTTGAATATTTATATCTTCAAAATTCTTATAGTCATGATATATAATTTGTTTCAAATATAATCAACCAGGACATATTAAAACTAATTGTTTTCTGAATCAACAAAACAATAATGTTGGAAACAATTTAAATTACAACAATAACAACAATTCAAATTACAACAATAATAACAGTTCAAATTATAACAATAACAATAGTTCAAATAATAACAATAACAACAGTTCAAATCAATAGGAAACATTACAAAATGTATTGGTTTTGTTAAGTTAAATGGATTTCAACAATGAAAACAACAATGCTGGAAATAATAACAACAATACTGGAAATAACAATTACCATGAAAATAAAACATTTGTTCATATTCCTGAGTAGGATGTTCATATTTTCACTGCTGACAGGAACAAAAGGAAATCTCAAAGGACAAATCCTTTAAAGCGCAAAGAAAAGAAACCTATGGTCTTTTTTGAAAATAATAATGAAAATGAACAAAATGAACAAGGAACCAACATGGAACAGGAAAAACCAAATGAAATGTTTACATTTCCTAATAAAGAAGAATTCCAAAGTATTTCTACTGAGAGGAAAAAGCCAAAAAGGATTACAACAAGAAAAAGAAATTTGAAGATGAATTACTAGCAATTGTATCTTTAGTGACTTCATATTCAATTGTATCTGATCTTCAAAATAAACCTGTCAATATAATATTTGGACAATTATTAAAAGAGGTACCTTCTATGAAACAGGAACTTTTAAAAAGTTTGATTAAAAAGAAAACAGTGAGGAGAAAAACCAAAATGAATGTCAATATTGGAACTTCTCAAGAATCAACAGCTTTATACTGTACTGCTACAGTTTATGAACATAAAATTCCATTGATTATTGATAGTGGATCATCTGGAAGTGTTGTAACTATGCAACTGTTGAAAAAATTGAAAGTAAAACCTGAAAGATCTTCAATTATTAAAATAATCAGTGTTCATGGTGAAAGCAAAAGGGCACTGAGTGAAATTTCAAACTTCCCTTTCAATGTAGGAGGGAATGAAATTCCTGTGGATGTAGTTGTAACTGATGCAAACTCTTACCAAGCTTTGGTAGGAAATGATTGGCTTTCAAAAGTCAATGTAAATATCAATTACAATAAATCTGAAATGACTATCTTCTGGAACAACAAGAAAACTTTCAAAAATAATCAGGATTCTGACTCTGAATATGAATCTAATACTGAGGATAGTGATAGTGAATTTGGCTCTGATGATGAGTTTGAAAAGAAGGAATTGAATGAACAATTATTTGTCTTCAATAAATTTAAGGATGAGGAACAATTTAAATATACAACTAATTCTATGGAGCATTACATGTTACTAAATTCTGATAAAAAGGAAAACAATAAGAACATTGAACTTTAATTTGAAAATCTGAACAAGGAACAGTCTGAACAAATAACTCAAATAGTAAAAACTAATAAGGATCTATTTGCTTGGAAATCTGATGACTTAGGAAAGACTTCTATTGCAAAACATGTGATTCAAACTGAAAATACTTTGCTAATTAAACAAAGGTCATATAGGTATTCACCTAAGGAAAAGGAACATATGAACTTGAAATTGAAAGGATACTAAAGGAAGGAATTATAACTCCATCAATCAGTTCATGGTCTTCACCTGTGGTGTTGGTAAAACAAAAAGAAAAAATTAGGTTCTTTATTGATTACAGGAAATTGCATACTGTTGCCAAAAAGAATAATTATTCTCTATCAATAATTGATGATCTATTAAATGCTCTTGCAAATTCTGTTTGGTATACTTCTTTGGATTTGGAAAGTGGATATTGACAAGTGAAAATGAATCCTGAGGACAAGGAAAAAACTGTATTTATAACTCCTTTTGATACTTATAAATTCAATGTAATGCCATTTGGATTAACAAATATACCAGCAACTTTTCAAAAGTTAATGGATCAAGTTTTCAAGAAACAAATTGGAAATTTTGTTGTTATCTATATTGATAATTTGAATATCTATTCCAAAACTTTTGAGGAACATTTGGATCATATTACAATTGTTTTGAATATTTTAAGGAAAAGTGGATTAAAACTCAAATCTTAAAAATATTTCTTTGCAAAACAATATTTAAAATTTCTTGGATATATAATTGGACCTGAAGGAATTTCTACTGACCCAGCAAAAGTGGAGGCTGTTAAAAAATTTTCTATACCTAAAAATGTTTCTCAACTGAGAGGATTTTTAGGACTAACATTATATTATAGAAGATTTATCTATGGATTTACAAAAATTGCTACTCCTTTAAATATACTATTGAAAAAAGATGTCTCTTACAAATAGACAATAATACAACAGGAAGCTTTTAATATTCTTAAGGAAAAATTGATTACTGCATCAATTTTGGCTTTTCCAAACTTCAACAAGGAATTTATTTTATTTACTGATGCCTCTGACTATATATTACAAGCTATATTGTCTCAACTTGATGATGATAACCAGAAGAGGATTATTTCTTATACCAGTAGGAGTATGACATCTGCTGAGAAAAATTATGTTGTTACTGAAAAGGAATGTCTTGCAGTAGTTTGGGCAATAACTTATTATCACTCATATCTTCATGGATCATATTTTACACTTTTCACTGATCATTTAGCTTTAACTTCCTTATTTAAAAACAAATTGTCACAAAGTAGATTAGCCCACTGGATTCTGTTGCTACAGGAATATTCCTTTGTTATCAAACACAAGGCAGGAAAAAGATATACAAATGCTGATTTCTTGTCACACATATAATTATTCGTTTCTCTTGAAATCTTATTATTGAAAACTATATATATATACTCCCTTATCTTTTATCCTTATTTTTTTTTATCATGGACAACTATACTTATTTTCTTTTCTCAAATTATTTACTTAATGGAACAACATCTTCACATTTTAATAACCAACAAATACTTAAATTGAAACATCAAACTAGGCATTATATTTTAAGGGATGGGTTATTATTTAAAAGAAATTTAAAACAAGTTCAACAAACATTTAGGATAGTTAAATCAAATAAACTGGAGGTTATATTATTTAGTAATCATTCTGATCCAATGTCAGGACACTTTAATACAACTACTACTTTACAAAGGATTGTCTTAAGGTATTATTGGCCACAAATGGGTAAGGATGTCAAGGCTTATATCAAAAGCTGTGATGCTTGTCAAAGAAGAGAAAAACAAAAAACAATGGAGTTACTACATTTTATCTGAATAGAACAACCATTTGATCGAGTTGAAATTGATATTGTAGGATCTTTGCCAAGAACTAAACAAGAAAACAGATATATTGTAGTTGCTACTGAATACTTGACAAAATGGTCTGAGGCTTGTGCTATTCCTAAGGCCAGTGCAAAATATGATGCAAACTTTATCTTTGAGGATATCATCTGTAAGCATGGAAGTTCAAAGGAATTACTTTCTAATCAGGGAAACTATTTTTGTAACAAATTGGTTAATTATCTTTGTAAAAGGATGGAAACAAAATATAGATTATCAACTGCTTATCATTCACAAACAAATAGATTGGTGAAAAGGTTTAATAGGACATTATGTAAAATTTTAGCAAAATGTACAAATCAATTTTCTGGAGATTGAGACCTTTATATTCCATCTGCATTATTTGCCTATAGGACTTTGAAACATGGAACTACTCAACATGAACCATTTTACTTAATATATGGAAGGAATACTACTTTGCCTGTTGAATTATCAATCTCAACATATCCAACTGAACCTTTGGATAAATTGAAATTACAGGAATATTTATTGCGAAGGATTGAAATATTATTTGGAAATTTATCTGAAACCCATATCAAGGTTAAGAACAAAATTCAACAATCTTAACAAAAACAAAAGAAATATTATAATAAAACTATTTATCAGAAAAGTTATAATATTGGAGATCAAGTTCTTGTCTACAAATTATATCTGGACAAGTCTATGAGTAGTAAATTAGATGAAAAATGGAATGGACCATATTATATTCATGAAGTTTTTAATAATGGGACTTACAAAATCAGAACAATAGAAGGAAATGTTTATAAAAAGGTTATTCATGAAAATAGATTAAAATTATATTATAGTCAAAATAGTTTAAAACCTTATATTATAGTTTAGGATTTATAATTTATCTTTTATAGCTTGGTTTATTCTTCAATGAATTGTGAAATTAATTTGAATCCATTATATAGCTGTTGATAACCTTGATTCCCAGAAATGGGAATCCATAGTATATGCTGGTTAAGGGCTGATCAGTCATGTAGCACCTAGTGCAGGATAATGTTTGAGACTATAGCATCCAATTAATTTTATATTTTATATTTTCTTTTATATTTTATAACTTTTGATATTTATATTTTATTGAAATTATATTTTAGTTTATAGTTATTTTATTTTGAAATTTATATTTTATAGTTTATTTTGAAGTTATTTAAAAAGGACATAACTATACAGTTGGTTGGTTATGACTGTTTGGTATAAGGTTTGGGGCACTTTACATTTTATGTTTTATATTCTTATATTTGATATTTTATATTTTAATACTTTTATATTTTATACCCTATACTTTATTATACCTTTTAATTTTATCTTTTATTTGATATTTTAAAATTTTATTTCATGATATGAAATTAATTTCATTAAAACATTATTTTATTTTATTGATCACTTTGAAATTTATTAGCAATAATTTATTTCAAATATATTTTTTTATTTTTATTTTATTTTATATTTTTTTGGAATTTATATTTTTTTACAACTTATCAAAAACACAATAATTTATACACTTCTATAACATCTACTGAAATAACTTTCATTGTAGACTACCAATCTATATCCTCTTACCAATCTGTGCAAATACCAATACTCCTGAACCAATCAATAAATATTTCTTCTCAAAGGTCTATTTCTTCTATAAAAACTCAATCCTGCCAACTGCTGCCTGATATTTCTATTGGATTCATTAAGGTTATCTACAAGTCTTTGCTGAGTATTCAACTCATACTGCAAAGTATTACACCGTTTACAGGAAGAGGAGTATAGGACTCAACAGGAGCAGGACTTTTAATAGGATTAGAAATAGGAGTAGAAGTAGGAGAAACAATAGGAGAAACCAGCTGAGGAACACGAAATGGATGACAAATAGTTGCCATGAATCTGACATGTGACTGAGGAGGAATATAGTAACTATTGTGATGATTAGCTGGACCAACACGATGAATATTATTGTTGAAGGATATCTTGAAAAACCTGAAAGTGAGAATAAAGGAGGAAAAATCAATATCTAATTTAAAAATGACAGTTTTAAGGAAACAACAATAAAGTATTAATGAATATCCTGTGGATACATGAATCATCTCTGTGGTAGAATAATCCAGGGATTCAATTAGGTTATAACCAGTCAATGCCAAGTAGAGGAAACAAATTAATGAAAATATATATATATATATTCAATAATTTTGAAAAATAAATAGAATAAATTCATCTTATGAAGGAAGAGAATATGTAAAAAAATTAGATACCTGGAGAAAACAAAATAACTAAGCTTTCAAATATGAACAAGAAAACTTTTGAAAGTGTGAACTTTGAAAGTTTGATAAAATCAATTTGATATTTGGATTTTAAATATTTGAAAAATTGATTGAGAAAAAATCAACGTACTTGGACAAATGAAAAAATAATCACAAGGAAAAATGTATAACAAAATTAATAATTTGCTTAGATACTTGTTAAGGATAATAACATGTGAATATATTTATGACTTGGAAAAATTTTGAATTAATGATCTTTGAAAAATTGATATGTATATATAAAAAACCTGATTGAAAATAGATTGACCAACTATGGAAATTCAGAAAATAATGATCAACCAGTTTGAAACTTGGATGTATGATGCTACTAGATTTATAATTATCCATCTGGAATAGAATAATAATAATAACTAGGAAAGTTATTATGAAAATATTTATTATTGAATGAATTTACAATAACATAAAACTGTACAGGAAAATCCAAGGTTTAAGGAATATTATTGGATAAATACAAGAAAGTATTAGGGCATATAAGTCTTTTATGTAGTGTGGTAGGCACGTGTAATACCTACTAAGCTTTGCAAATACTTGAGGTATTTATGTCGATGTTGAATATTATTTTATTTTGGAAATTTGACAACAATTCTAGATATTGATTGTCAAGGATAACATAATTATGGAATTGCTAATATTGATATAGCATCAGGAGACATTTCAATAGTAGAATTGTGGGACCGATTATTTTCAAATTTGACAACTAATCATGAAATTCAGAAGAAACCGATAATCTCTAATATTCAAAATTTTCTAATTGAAAGATTACAACAGAA